AAATTTTGATAATTTTAGTTTATGAAACAGACAATAGACAGATAACTGGAAAAAGAACACAGAGATTGGATTGCTGGTAAACGCACAGGAACCACACACATTCAACAGGAGGCCCAAAGAGGGCAAGATGGGATCTGGGCGGAAGGGAAGAGGTATAGACTATGGGATGTTGGGGGAGGAGGTGTTTAGTGAGCAGGGCTGTCTTTGTGTGCGTGTGTGTGTGTGTGTGTGTGTGCGTGTTTGCGTGGGGGGGGGTGTGGGTGGGTGTGTGTGTGCACTGTGCAGCCCCAGCCCGGATTTTGATATGCAGACGTGGTCTTCCAGTTCTTCCAGGTAACAGCCACTTGTGGTCATCTCTGCCTGGGATTCAGGCAGGCATGATGAAAGAGACCCTCTCATCTCTTCTTTCTGTGAAAATATCTTTCCTAGACAGAAAGAAATGGGGGAACAAAGGAAAGCCTCTACCTGCACCCACTGTTTACCAATGGAGACAGGGCTGGGGGTGTAGGCTTGCCTCATGTGCATTTGAGGAGGGGGAGGAAGAGGGAGAATGAGGAGGGGTACGAAGAGAAACAAACCTACAGACCCTGGATTTTTTCCCCCCACTCATTTGTTTTTTCTGTCCCTTTAAAGCCCTAGATGAGAAGGAAAACCAAGGCATGCAAGCTAGAGACATTTTCCAAAGCCTTTTAAAAACACAACTAGGTGAACCTTCTCCTAGTTGAAACCTAGCCTGGCAAGGTCATCATTACAGAACACAGAGACAAATACTGGAAAAATGAGAAGAATGAGGCCCAGCGTTGACTCAAATCAAATGGCATTTCTTTAGAAACGGCTCTCTAACATTTTTATTTCATTGGCCTGAGCCTTCCCACAGAACCCTAAAGCAATTATATTGAACACTAGGGCTTTTTAATAGCTTCTAACATAGCGAGCCACGGTCGTTTAAAAGCGAGCAGATGAACAGGGAGGAGCAGGGAGATCTCTGCTGAAGAATACAAATGTCTTCTCTGTGACATTGCCTCTTTCTGGGCAGAGGCAAAACACACCCAGGGATGGAGTGGAACTTTCCAGCTGGCGGTTTTGTATTAGCAGGAGAGAATGTGTTGTGAAGATGAAAATTACTGATAATTAGGTGTGAAAGCCTGTAAGAGAGAAACGCTACAGAATCTTTATTTATATCCAGGACTGAACCCTATTGGTGGGTGTTGGATTTGAAAGTCTTTTGGAGGGGAATTCAGTCTTGTGCTGCTTTGATCCAGTGATTCCCCTCTGGGAATCTGTCTTGTGTCAGTATGGTACTTGCTCATTGACCAAGAGGAATGCGTGTGAAAGGTTGTTCACTGGAATATTGTTTGCATGTGTGAAAACTAGAAATGGGGTTGGAGGTGCAGCTCAGTGGCAGAGACCTTACCCAGCACAGCGAAGCTCTGGGTCCACCCCTAGCACCATGAGAATAAAACAAACAAAATTAAAATCCAGAGAAATGACCCACCTTCCCCAGTATGAGAAAGTTTTAACAAATTGTGGCATATCTATATTTTAGAATTGTTTACTGCTAATAAAAATGGAATGAATTAGATTGCCGTATCGACATAAAAAAGATGCCCTGATCTGTTAAGGAGAAAAAATCAAGCTGCAAAACAGTACCTGTCACATGATCCCACTTTGATGCTTTTGTATATGTGGAGGAGTTGGAACTCAGGGGCTTGCATTTAGCCAAGCAGGTGTTCTGCCACTTGAGCCATGTCTTCAAACCTTTTTACTTTAGTTATTTTTCAAATAGGGTCTCACTTTTATGTCTGAGCTGGCCTAGACCTTCATCTTCCCCTGTATATTTCCTGTGTAGCTGGGAGGACAGGTGTGTGCCATCAGGCCCAGCTATTGGTTGGAATGAAGGCTCACTAACTTTTTGCCTCAGCCAGCATCAAACCACAATCCTCCTGATCTCCACTTCCTGAGTATTTTAGGATTACAGCCGTGAGCCACCGTGCCTGGCCCTTAAAATGTTTTTGATGTTAATATATTCATTAAAATTATCTGGAAGAACATGTACCAAAGATTACCGTGACTACATCTGGGGAATGATGAACACATTTTGTAATGTTTACATTTTTATGGGCATGGATTACTTTTGCAAAGGAGTAGGAAAAAAAGAGTTGAATTACTGCCTCCCAGCAAGAAAGAAGGTAAGAAGAAACAGCTGATAATAGGGTTCAGCCTTCAAGTGAAAGGTTTCAGTAAAATTCCACAGTGAGTGTGTCGGTTCAGATCCCAGCAATCTGGGCACGGGTGTTTAGTCAAAATGAATCAAAATGACAGACACACCGTGTCCCCCTCTGCTTTCTTTCTTCTGTCCCCTGACTGACTGTCCCTTTGGCTCTTTCTGCTGCTTTTGAACTTGGGCTGATGCTTTGGAGCCAACTGATCTCCCACACCTCACAAATGATTTCAAGATCTGCTCCAGCACCAGCTCTATGGCCATCACTTCTTCCTCTGACCCCTCCCCTGCACCCCACAGTCGTGTTCCCTCAGCTGGAGGGCCATTCAATGCTGGGTGCCCAGGCGCACCCCTGCATGGTGATTCTGACGAGCTTGTCTGATCTACTTATCTCCAAGCCCTCAGCACCTGCCTCAGAGCAGTCATGTGTGAATTCAATAATCATTTTTACAATAGAGGGATTTCCAGTTGAATGTGTTGTCATCGTCCCTGCCTCTGCCCCTGGGCCTGGCCATTTTTAGTTCTTGGTGACACTGTGGTCACAGCTTCTTCACTGATTTCCCAGCTTCCTCTCTCCCCACAGCAATTTAGGCTAACATTTGACCCCAAAGGGTCCCTGCTCAAAAACTTTCAAGAACAGAGGAGAATCACAGAAAGAGCTGGAGGTGGGGCCAGGCCTGAGTGTTCACCCAATTGTGCTCCAGGCTCATGTGATCCTGAGCTCATTGCTTTACTGCCTGGGTCGTGGGCGCTGGAGGGGCTCAGTGAGAAGTGCACGTGAGAACATGACTGCGTGGCCTGAATGCTAGCTGTCACTCCTTGTTTTTCTTTTTTGCTATGCTTGGATAGAGCCCAGGGCCTTGTGCATGCTGGGCAATCAGTCTACCACCAGCTACACTCCCAACCCTAGTGAAACCAGAGTTTTAGGCCCCAGGCCCAAACTCCAGGGGCTGCACGTATCAGGGCCTGCACTTGCTCCTATAGGCCAAATGAAGAGACATGGCGAAGGGCACACAAAGGAGGTTTATTACATGGCACAGGACACACCATTAGGAGAGGCCAAGTAAGCACTCAGCCCATCTTCAGTCATCTTTGGGATACAGAAATGAGCTTTAGGTCCTAAATAGACAAAGAATTAGGGCAGGGAACAACAGGGCAGGACTTTAACTCAAAAGTTAAAGAGTCCAGTCACAGGTGTGGCCTGGTTAGGCACTATCTCAGTCCTTGCTTTAGGAGGGGTCTCAGAAAAGTTGTTACCACTGATATCACTTGAGGGGAGCAATCTGGTCAAGATAGGCAAGTCATTCTGTCCTGGTAGGTCTATCCTGGTCTATCCTCAGGGCAGTCTCCTCCATCCCGCCTTGTAAACAGGATCAGTCCTGTTCTTCCTGGATTCCCATGTGGCAGCAAAGTGAATGGCTCTGAGCAATGACAAATACAAAATGGAGGCAGGGTGCCAAGTTTTCCTCCTGCTTTTAGTTAATTCCTGGGATCAAGTAAGGAGCCAGTGCTTTTCAGCAAAGCCAGTTTAAGTACTTGCTACACTACTTTGGGGCTGTTTGTTTTTCTTTGTTGAAGCAGGGTCTTGTTATGTTGCCCAGCTTGCCTCCAGCTCCCAAGCTCAGACGATCCTCCTGCCCCAGCCTCCCACTGGAGCTGGGACTACAGATGCATGTCACCGTGCTGACTTATTTTTGAGACACAGTGTAGGTCGAGGAAGAAAGAAAAAGAGAGTAGCTGTCAGGTGTCTGTCCTAGAGGTATTATATTGTGGATGGCTCTGGGGTTATCATTTATAAAGAAAACTCTAAGATCTGTTCTACCCAAGGGCTTCTACCCTCCCAAAACTGCATTTAAATTAAAGCATTCTCTGGGAGATCAATCCCAAAGGCAAAGAGGCAAAGACTCTCCTTGCCCTTAAAAATTAAACTCAAATATAAGAAAACATTTGTGCAATCCATCCCTATTGATAGAGCACTTTAGCACCCCTCATAGTATTTGAAAAGGACTTTAAGGGGAAGGAATCACAGTCAAGTCTTAACAGTCATAATCTCTAGAGAGTAGAATTGGGCAAATATTTAATTTTGTTTTTCTAAGCCATCAAAATGTTCTGTAATTCAGAACTCAAAAGACATGGTAGTTTTGCACAGCAGTATGAATGCATGTTACTGAATTGTGCCCTTGTTTTTGTTTTTATTTTTGTTTTGGCAACAGTGGGGTTTGAATTCAGGGCTTCACACTTGCTAGACAGGCATTCTAACTTGATCCACTCCACCAGTCCTTTGTGTGTGTGTGGTGTGTTGGGTATTTTCAAGAAAGGGTCTGGTGAGCTATTTTCCTGGGCTGTCTATGCCTCCTAAGTAGCCAGGGTTACATGTATGAGCCACTGATGCCCAGGGAATTGTGCACTTTATAATAGTTAATTCTATGAGTTGCACCTTAATAAAATATCATGCTATACACAAGCATGATTTTATAGTCATTTCTTAAAATGTGGTTTGAGGACAGTTTCAGAGGATTCTTAAAGTTCAAAAGCTGTCTGTTTACTTAGTTGACATTTCCCACATACACACACACCCACATCTCTCCCAGTCATCCCAATCCCTCCCCTCAAGTCCCCATCGCAGGTTAGGCCTGCAATGCGGTCCTCCACCCACCAGGGGTCTCTATAGAGTCCTCGAGTCCCTGCACGCCGTCGTGCGCCGTCTCTTGCTCCTTTGAAGCGCGTGTGCGTGCGAGGGGCGGGGCCAGGGCCGGAAGCGCGGCCAGCGCCACCGCGTCCCTGAGAACTTCTTTCCGCGCCGCTCTCTGTCCCGAGTGGCCGGAAACCCCAAGTCTTTGCTCGCCGTTCTGGTCCCACTGGTCCATTCAGCCGTCTCTCGTTCGGGCTGCCCCCCAGCTTCCATTTCCCTTATCCACCTTCCCCGTGTGCCCCGTGTCCGCCTCGGCCCCATGGCGCTGCAGGCGCTGCAGAGCTCGGGGGTGGCCTTCCGCAAGATCTTGTCTCACTTCCCCGAGGAGCTGAGCCTGGCTTTCGCCTACGGCTCCGGGGTGTACCGCCAGGCGGGGCCCAATTCAGACCAGAAGGTGAGCCCGGCCCGGGAGGCTGGACCTTCCCGGTGCGGCACCCCCGCCAGCCCCATGCCTGGAACCGCGTGTCCCCAGAGTCCCCTTGTGTCTTCTGTCCCTTCGACGCTGCAAGCGTCAGCTGGCAGAATCAATGCAAATCCTACGAAAGTGCTCCTTTGGGGCAGTGTGAGCGTGGTTAAGTAGGAGTCCACTTGGGTCTAGAGCAGGAGATGCAGTTAGGCCGTGCAAGAAAGCTGTTGCAGGGAAAAGATGGAAGAAAAAAAAAGAGATAGCTGGTAGGTTCTAGTTTAGAATGCTTTGACTGAGCATTGTAATTTTCTAGGGACCTTTAGAAAAAAAAAAAAGCCACTTTCTGGGTTTCTAGTTTAATTGGTCTAGATGAGACTTGAGTTTCAGGAATTAAATTAAAAATGTCCCAAGTGAGTCTGATGTGCATCCACGTTTGAAAGTCATGTTGGAGACGGAGAAAATACAGTGTTCTTGAACCTGAGGAAGCGAATGGACTGGCTGCAAGGCCAGGGCAGGTGCAGGGAAGGTAACTGACAGCCATGGTTAGTGGGTGGCCAGTGAGTGTATTCATGTACACGCTTAACAAGGCTCTGATACCAAGCATTGCTACTCCTCAGAATTGGCTGAGCACTACACAAGTGCCATGTTCACTGTGATTTGCAGAATTCAGTGTGCAGATTGCACTAGGGCCTTCTGGTTAGGAAACCTGGCTGGAATCATCTTATGGTTAAAGTTTGCCTGTTCTCTTCCTGGTGAGGCCATCTGTACTGTTGCTTAGATATTCCCTGTTTCCCACCTATTTTATCTAATTCATATTTAATGTTTTTCTGTAGTTTGGCAGCATTTGAGAAATTATAGGTTTTAAGTGTGTGGCTCAGATGGTAGAGCACCTGCCTAGCAAATTCATCCCACCAAAATAAGGAAAAGATCCTCCTTCTCTTTCCTTTCTTCTCATTCCCTACATTCAAGTTAGCAAGTCTTCTGCAATCTAACACTTCGTCTCTCTCAAGTTAGTCCCTACTGTCAGTGCCTTAGCTAATACCATTTCATTTCTTACCTGGAATCTTTTTCTTTTTCTTTTATTATTCATATGTGCATACAGGGCTTGGTTCTTTTCTCCCCCCTGCCCCCACCCCCTCCCTTACCACCTACTCCACCCCCTCCCTCTCCCCCCCACCCCCTCAATACCCAGCAGAAACTATTTTGCCCTTATTTCTAATTTTGTTGTAGAGAAAGTATAAGCGATAACAGGAAGGGACAAGGGTTTTTGCTGGTTGAGATAAGGATAGCTATACAGGGCATTGACTCACATTGATTTCCTGTGCGTGGGTGTTACCTTTAGGTTAATTCTTTTTGATCTAACCTTTTCTCTAGTACCTGGTCCCCTTTTCCTATTGGCCTCAGTTGCATTTAAGGTATCTGCTTTAGTTTCTCTGCGTTAAGGGCAACAAATGCTAGCTAATTTTTTAGGTGTCTTACCTATCCTCTCCCCTCCCTTATGTGCTCTTGCTTTTATCATGTGCTCATGGTCTAATCCCCTTGTTGTGTTTGCCCTTGATCTAATGTCCACATATGAGGGAGAACATACGATTTTTGGTCTTTTGGGCTAGGCTAACCTCACTCAGAATGATGTTCTCCAATTCCATCCATTTACCAGCGAATGATAACATTTCGTTCTTCTTCATGGCTGCATAAAGTTCCATTGTGTATAGATACCACATTTTCTTAATCCATTCATCAGTGGTGGGGCATCTTGGCTGTTTCCATAACTTGGCTATTGTGAATAGTGCTGCAATAAACATGGGTGTGCAGGTGCCTCTGGAGTAACCTGTGTCACAGTCTTTTGGGTATATCCCCAAGAGTGGTATTGCTGGATCAAATGGTAGATCAATGTTTAGCTTTTTAAGTAACCTCCAAATTTTTTTCCAGAGTGGTTGTACTAGTCTACATCCCCACCAACAGTGTAAGAGGGTTCCTTTTTCCCCGCATCCTCGCCAACACCTGTTGGTGGTGGTGTTGCTGATGATGGCTATTCTAACAGGAGTGAGGTGGAATCTTAGCGTGGTTTTAATTTGCATTTCCTTTATTGCTAGAGATGTCTTACCTGGAATCTTACAGGGGCTTCCTGTCCAATTTCCCTTACCCTCCATCTCCTTCCAGCCCTTGTGGGAAGTTTCCTAGCATGACAGGCAGTCTCTTTCTCTAGTCCATTCCCCACTATGTAAATATGTTCTATTCCAGTGGTGTCAAACTGCAGGTCCCAGAATGGGCCTGGCTGTCCTATTTATATGAGTGGTTTCTTCTAACATGACTCCCAACCCTCCCCCTGCTTCCCAGGTACTTCTACCTAGCCTGTTTCCCTCTCATACATTCATCAGGATTCAGTTTGTTATCTCTGGAAAAATATTTCCTTCCTGTTCTCTTGATCCCACCCCTATTCTGAGTAAAGTCAGTACATTACACATTCCTCTGTCAAGTCAATTTAGTGACTTTCTCCCCAGTAGACTCCAAGCACTTCTATTCTGGGTCCTATCAGAGCTCTGTAGCTGCTCCATGGGTGGTTGGTGAGAGTTAGAATAATTTATTGCCCTTTAGGTACTGCTTTATAGAGTTTATCCATGTGATATTAATTTGATCTGGAAAAAAAGTGGAGCACATTTAGCCAAATGGCACACAGGATTTGTTACCACAGTCCTTAGGTCTGCCTCTCACTAGCTCTGGGCCCTTGGACAAAGCGCTTACCCTATACCTTAGTTTCCTTTCCTGTGAAATTGGGACAGCAGCATACCTGTCTTGTAGGGCTGTTCTAAAGATAAAGTGAGTTGCTGTGTAGTATATAAAAGAATGTAAAAGGGTGCTGACACACAACATGTAGCAAGCCTTTAGCTCACTGTTTTGATGAGAATAGAGCTCTCATTGGTTCCTGAGATCAGTTTAAGTTTCAGATGACAGGCCGGAGGGGTCTGTCTATTAAGTTCAATAGTGCAGTACTTGGGAGCTTCCCCTTCCCACTCCATCTGGCTGTCCCCCACCCCTTCCAGGGGTGAATACTGAGTCCTGAACTTATTCTTTTTTTCTTCACTTTCCAGAATGCTATGCTGGACTTTGTGTTCACAGTAGATGACCCTGTTGCATGGCACTCAAAGAACCTAAAGAAGAATTGGAGCCACTACTCTTTCTTAAAGCTGTTGGGACCCAAGGTCATCACATCTGTTCAGAATAACTATGGTGCTGGGGTTTACTACAACCCATTGATCATGTGCGACGGGAGAGTAAGTGACTTCAGGTCTTCGTCTTAGCTTGGGTGGCTTTAACCTTTATCAGTAGAACACCAGTGAAATAGGTATGTTCATGCAGTCAGGAAGCAGTCATACCCCTGCTAGAGGTCTTAAATCCAGGATCGGAATAGGAACTGGAGTCCTTCTCAACCGTGACTGTGATTGCAGCGTGAGAAGGTGATTGGATGTGACACTGGCTTTATTTTTTGCCTTTTGGCCAAGTGGTTCTCAAGTTCTAGCGTGCATCAAAGTCCTGTTGGACCCACAGATTGCTGGGCTCCATCCCCAGAGTTTCTGATGAAGTAGGTCTAGAGTGGGATAGGACATTGGCTTTTCTTACAAGCTTACAAATGATGCTGAAGTTGCTGATCTGTAAACCACAATCTGAGAACCTATGGTTTGGCCAGTGGGAGGAACAGGCAGGCCTGTGTGGGATTAGTGCTATGTGGAAGGAAGAGCAGATACCCTCCAGAAGAAGCTGGAAGTGAGGGTGGCTGGGAGTGCCTGGTGCCAAGTGATAAACAGGAGCCTCAGTGTGAGCAAATGTGTGGAATTTGACAGTGAGGTGCTGGGGAGCAGGTAAGATGCATGGATCACCAAATATGGGTTGTCTGACAGCAGGAACACTGCCTGTCTGTCTTTCAGGTGAGGCACACCAGGGACTGAGGATATAGCTCTGTGGCAGAGCACTTGCCTAGCATATGCAAGGCCATGGGTTTTGACCCCCTTACTGGAATGAAAGGAAAAAAAGTCACACACTCACAGAAAAGGGTCGGGGAATTAGAGTACTGACTTGAGAAGGGTTTGAAGGCAGTCTGAACTTGGCTGTGGAATGAGTGCTGTGGTTGACTGGCATGGTCTGCAATATTTGCTTTTCTGTCTGAGGGCCGTTCCTGCTCCACCTGCATTTTGCAGATGAGGAAAACAAGGTTCAGAGATGAAAATTACTTCCATAAGGTGGTGCGTAGCCTCCCAGCTGTTAACTTTCCTGGCAAGGAGGGCTTTCTGCAGCCCTGTGGTCACCAGAGTGGAGGGAAAATGTCTTTATTCAGCTTGCCTTCCAGTTCCACTTTAGTCCTGATAAACACATAGCTTTGTTCTTGCTCCATAATTAATATTATGCTGAGCCTGTATCTAATTAATAATTTTCAAACTGTATTACAAGCTCCAGTAATCAAATGTTTGGACATAATTGTGTGCCAAAGGGACTGTACTTTTCATTGAAATTCTTTAACTACTTTTTAGATATTTGCAGTCTGAGAAAGCAGTTTGGATACTGAAATTCAGCAGTGGATCTGAAGATATTTGTTGATACAAATGGGACTTTGTAACCTTGGAAATCTACATTCAGGATTTATACAGATTGTTATGGAAATGGGCTTGACCATAATTCCATGTGTTTACCACTGATAAGGAGATTTTATTTTTGGGTGTTGCTTTATAATTGTAACCTTTTGAAAGACACCAACAACAGAAATTCGCTGTGCAGAGTGTCAGTGAAAACTTAATTGTAAAAGAAATTTCTGGTTCCTTGTAATGAAAAGGATATTAGAAGGCCAGACTGAAATTCTAGCACCTATGTTTTTTTGAGACTGCATCTCACCATGTTGTCCAGGCTGGCCCTGAACCCCTAGGGAGCTCGAGCAATCTTCTTGCTTCAGTCTCCCTAGAAGCTGGAACTACAGGTATGCATCACTGTGCTCAGCCTGGTTTTAACTCTGCCACTGCCAGTGCCACTTTGGGCATGTCAGTTATTCTCTTTGGGCCTCAATCACTTCTCAAGCTGATTAGGTGGAAGGACCAGTGTTTTATTCACAGTCCATGAGAACCAACACTAAATGGTGTCTAAGAGCCACTCTGCCTTTAGCATCACGTGGACCTGAATTAAAATAATGGCCACCTCACTGCATGTACCATGGGGGCCATCAGTCTTTTTTTCATAGTATTGGGGATTGAACCTAGGGCCTCACACATGCTAGGCAAGCAGCTCTACCACTTGAGCTACACCCCCACTCCTTTTGTTTGTATTTTGTTTCTGAGATAAAGTTTTGCTGACTTTGCATTGACTGGCCTCAAACTCTCAGTCCTTCTGCCTGGAACTTCTGGGTAGCAGGGATTACAGGCCTGACTCCATCTCAGTCTTTATGCTAAACCTCTGAAGGGTCTTGATGGAGATCTGTTTTTCACAAGGGAGGGATTTTGGAAATCAAGGTAGTACTCTGCTCAAGAATTTGTTCTATTTCCTTACCTTTTGTATTTGCATAAGCAACAACCAGGTATTTTGCCCTTTTTCATGTCCATTTCTTTTCTTTTTCAGCTTATCAAATATGGGGTTATTAGCACTAGTATTCTGATCGAAGATCTCCTCAGTTGGAATAACTTATACATTGCTGGACGCCTCCAAAAACCGGTGAGTGCAAGTTTTTTAGGTTGCTGTAATCAGGGATGCCTCTTGTCTCTGAAATTGACCTTATATATATGATCTTTGTCCTTAGTTCTTGGCAAAGAGCTCCTAAAACTCTTGGAATTCTTGAGTGATAAGGATAACAAGTCCCTTTCAACCATATCTGAGTTTACGCTAATGAAGTGATCTGTTTTTTCCCTGCAGTATTGGGGATGGAACCAGGTCTTGCCCATGTTAGGCAAGAGCTATCCTGCTGAGCTACACTCCCAGCCCTAGGTGACTCTTGATGAGCCCCTATGTAGCTTCAGGATAGGGCTGGTTACCAGAGGAACCAACCATGTGATTAGGGGTCCCTTCTTCCACCCACCTCTTGGGGGGGCGTGGGGAGGACTGGACATTGAATTACTCATCAAAAGCAACAGATTATTTGTTCATGCCCAGGTAACAAAAAGCACCATAAAAACCCTAAAAACCTGGGCTCAGAGAGTTTTCATGTTGGTGAACACAGCGAGGTGCTGGGAGGATGGTGCCCTTGAAGAGCACATAGAAGGCCAGCACCCTTATTCCCCATAAATACCTTGTATTTCTCCTTTCCTTTTTTCATTCCTAGAGATCCAACCCAAGGCCTTATCCATGCTAAACATGTACTTTACCACTGAGCTGCACCCTTAGCTCCTGCATGTCTTCTATTTAGCCGTTCCTGAGTTGGGTACTTTATAACAACCTGGTAATAGCAAGTAGAGAGCCATTCTAGAAAATTATCAAACCAGAGGAAGAGGTTATAGGAACTCCCCAATTTACAACCATTCTGTCAAGTGGGGAAAGTCTTGTGAGACTGAGCCTCTGACCTATGGGATCTAAATGTAATTCTAGGTAGATAGTGTCTGAACTGAATTGAATTGTAGGACATACAGCTGATGTCTGAAAAGTTGGAAAGGGAAAAAACCTGCACATGTTGGTTTCAGGTGCTGGAAGTAAAAAAACAGATTGTCAGGGCATGCCTGTAATCCCCGCACACAGGACTCTGAGGCAGGAAGATCATGAGTTTGAGACCATCCTGGGAACAAAGCCTAAAAGAAAAACAACACTATTGCTGCCCTTTCTCCACAGATTCTTCAATTGGCTGATGGGATCAGGCTCTGTCAGTTCATTTGGGCTGGGGAGGATAATAGAGGAGGTGGCCAGTGCGTCAATGGAGCCCCTGTCAGCACCACTTAGATCATCTTCCCTTCTAGAACCTGAGGGCCATGGGGGCCCTGTGTCCACTGCTTTCTCACCAGAGACCTGGATAGTGCCTGGCACATGGAAAGCTTCAGTGACTATTTGTAAGTGAATGAGCCAGACAGTGATTCCAGGGGGATGAACCTCACATTGTCCTCTTGAGGCCAGTGGTAATGTCGGGTCCTACTTTCTTACCTCATTTGAGATACTGCTGGAAAAGCTGTGGGGAGCAGACCTCTCCCTGGACACTGATGGAAACAGGAACAGGAGAAAAGGTGGGAGGAGTCTGGAGTTCTATTTTTTTAGCGGGTGGTATGGGAACACACTCACTTGAGCCACTCCGCCAGCCAGGAACTAGAACTTTTAACAAACATTCACACATACTGTATTTCTTCTTTTTTAAAAGTGTATGCTGTATTTTCAGAGAAAGGTTCTTTTCCTAGTTTAAGACCTATGTTCAGTAGTCCACACTTCCCAAGGAAAATTTTCACTGTGCTGTCTCAGGTTCCAGAGAGGGCACACAGATGGTTCTCAGGTGTCTCCATAGCAGGGACACATTAACACTGTCCTTTTATGGTCAACTATGGAAGAAGTTAGAGAGACAGTATACAATCTTAGTTCACTGGGTTTGTGTTAGAAAGTTTTCTTTGTTAATGCATATAGGCCATCAGCATTCTCTTCCCTTGGATCATGAGTTCAAGGCCAGCCCGGGCTGCATACTAAGACCCTGTCTCAAAAAAAACAAGCAAAGAAATAAACAAACAAAAGGTTCTCTTGCCTTGTACCTGGACTCAAAATTTGATACTGTAGCCCATTAAAATATTTAGATATGTGATGTGAACAGTGTTACACACATATTTGCATATGTAAAAATGTATCAAGCTATACCTTCAGATGTGTGGATTTTGAAAAATTTACTGTCTGTAATTTTTACTTTAGTAAAGACATTTTTGTGTGTGTATGGTGTGGGTAGGGATGGAACCCAGGACCTCACGCATACCAGACAAACTCTCTAATACTGAGATACATCTCCAGACCAGTAAAAACATTTTTTAAATATTCAGAAACAGTGGGCTTACTGAAATAATGCTCTGTCTATATAGATGAATTTCTCATTTTTAGGCTGAATAAGTAGTTAAAGTTCATAATGAAGGAAATAAATTCAATAAAACTTTGTAAGTATTCATTTTATTTCTAAAGTTTGTTTTGTTTGGTTGGTGGGTTGTTTGTTTTGAGAGATGATCTTGCTAAGTTTTCTACGCTGGCCTTGAACTCTTCGGCTCAAGCAGTTCTTCAGCCTTAGCCACCCAGCTAGCTGGGACTAACAAGCATGTGTTACCATGCCTGGCCCCAAAGTTTGTATCCAGTGCTGAGGACTGAACCAGGCTTTTGCATGCTGAGCAAGTGCAACATCCTAGGCACCATCCCCAGCTCCCCAAAATTTTTTTCTTTTAATTTACAAAATCTGCAGCTTGAGAAAAGTGAGTGTAGAATTAGAAGCCTTAGCTGCCTGACACTTATTAGCTGTTTATATGAACTTGGGTGACTGACTGGGTTTATCTTCCTGAATCTTAGTTGATTCAGGAAGTTGAATCTTAGTCAATGCGGATAAGAGTACTTGCATTTCAAGATAAAATGAGATTGAATTGAAAATGTTGTATTATGCCTAGAATGTTTCCAAAAAGGGGAAAAAAAAGAAAGGAAAATTAAGATTTTTTTTTTTAAATTTGAAGCCAGGCACCAGTAGTTCACACCTGTAATCCTAGTACTTGGGAGACTGAGAGACTAAGATCAGGATTGTGGTTCAAGGCCAGCCCAGGCAAAAAGTTTGTGAGAATCCCATCTCCAAAATAATCAGAGTAAAATGGACTGGAGGAGTGGCTCAAGCAAAAGAGTGCCTGTTTTGTAAGGTGCTGAGCTCAAATCCCAGTCCCACCAAAAACACTGACAGTGATAAGTGGGAAAAGTCATTCTCCCTCCCAGTCCTTCCACTCCTGTGAAATCAGTTGACCTTTAAACAAACTATGTAACCTGTAGGTGGCAGCAGATAGTAAACAAATGAGCAAACCTGATGAAAAGAAAGGGCAGCAACAAGGAGAATGGGATGTCTTCAGAAAAGAGTATAAGAATATAAGTATGAATTCTTTGTTTTTCTGTTTTAAAACAAAGTTATGCTAAATTACAGTATCTAAAGCTTTAAATTGTCTTGCATCTTGCAAATCAACATAGAATTTCTCAGTCTTTGAAAGAAATACAAAGGATTTGAAAAGATGGGTATATCTACAAAGAGTTGAAAATTAAATTTCTATCATACTTTACTGTCAGCTTACCTGATAATTGAGTGCTTACCCATTTTTATTTCTGGCACAGCCTTAAGTTTCTAAGTCATTTGCAATATGTGTATGTGTGTGAGTGTGTGTGTGGTGCTGAGTTCAAACCCCAGTACTACCAAAAAAAACCCAAAAAAACTATGGAATTTAAAGTAATAGAATATTGTGGGCAATCCTTTGTAAGTTAAAACAAAACAAAACAAAAAACTCCACAGTAATGTAAGTCAGTCAAATAGTTTCACACGATTTTGGATTTTCTGTTTAACACTGTTTTAATGAAGAGGTAATTTTGCTTGAATTTTTGGCTCTTTGTTTTTGAGAGGGGTCTCACTGTGTGGCCCACACTGGTCTCCAATGCTGAGCTCAAGTGATCCTCTTGCCTCAGCCTCCCAAGTGCTGGGACCACAGACGTGCTTGAAATTTAAAGCAATCACAGTGACCTGCAGTGATATCCTTGCCGCCTTGTTAAGAGGGTTTAATGTATTCATTGCAGTGCATTTTACTTGCTAGTAACACAGCTTTCTGTAACACCTTTATTGAGATAGCATTCACATAACATGATTGAACCGTTTTAAGTATACAATTCGGTGAGTGTCGGTATAGATACGGTTGTGTAACTATCTCCATATTGTACCTCTGTTGATTTACATTTTGCAGATAGAAAAGTCACAAAGATGTATGAAAGATCTCTTAACTGGGAATTGGGGAGCCTAGCTTACTAGTTTGGCTCTGTCCTGCTGTGAGTCACTCGCCTTTGAAATGCAAAGGTTGAGCCATTATTTAGTTTCTTCTCTGTGCATGCCAAAAGAATTAAAAAAAAAAAAAAAAGGAGACCCCCCCATTGCTTATCCTGAAAGAGCCCACAGTCAGTAGGTAGATAAGGTTTCATCCAGCCCTCTGGTCTGCATTTCTTCATCTTCAAGCCAGGACTGTTCTGGTGAGTGTTGAGTATTTCAACACTAGATAGGGTTGTGTGCTTTGTGACTAAAGTTTCACTCTGCAATTCAAGTCGTCTCTGTGTGACTGTACAGGACTATACAGGGGTCTGTGACTCTTTTTTTTTTCTTTCAGTCTTGAAAGTACTCACAAATCTCTCCTTTGAAAGTCTCTCCAAGCATTGCCCCTTCTCGCAGAAAAGATTTTTGCCTGGCAGTAGTGCTTATGTTATCTATGCAGTGAGGTCAGGGCATTCCCAGTAGGTACAAACAGCTATTCACAAATCTGAGGACTTTCTTCTTTTCCCAGGCCTCTCTGGCAGTGTCCCAAGCGTTCACTGGCTTTTCACTCTGAGCAACAAATAACAGTGCTGCTGAGACAAGTTCCTAGTTCACCTTTCGTTGAAGAACCAGATCCACACAAGTAGCAGAGACTTCCGAATTGACACTTTTCCTTTGAGTAAGAATGCTTTTATTTTCACCCTCTTAACCTTCGATAGCCAACAGACTGCTTTCTTACACCCTAAGTGGAGCAACTTTCTTGGAGAACAAGTTGTATTTTGTTAACTAGGAAAAGACTCCTAAACTTACTCTTCTCTTTGCATCTTTGAATTGTTGGCATCTCAAAGTAGCTTCTGATTTCACACACACTAGAGAGGGTGTAGGATTATGGAGCAGTACCTGCAGATGCAGATGAAGAATGGGAATGTGGACATAGAGACATGGGAGAGACAGATCAGGGGACTGGACCCTGGTTTGCTGTACTACTAACTTCTCTTGGAGAAGATTTTTCATGCTCTGGCCCCCAGTTTCCAAAAGGATCAATATCTATGTGGATTACGGGTTTGGGAAAGTTAGTCAGGAATAAGCATAGGAGTTATTATATATAGAACCTTAAAATTGGGGGCTGGGTAAATGTAGCCCAGTGGTAAAATGATTGCCTAGAATGCTCAAGGCCCTGGGTTTAATCCCCACCACAGCAAAAAAAAAAAGCCTTAATCATCTGTCAAGAAGGTGGGTGTGATGGTTCAGAACTATAATCCTAGCAACTCAGTGGCTAAGGTAGGAGGATCCTGAGTTTGAGGGCTATATAGCAAAATCCTGTCTCAAAAAAGAAGAAAACCAAAAAAACAAAACCAGAAGAAGTTAACCAGAATGCATCTCTAACTGAATGTATGAGAATAACTCAAACTACTTAGAACTTGATTTACATGGTATAAGGTCATTACCGTGATTTTTGCCATCTCTCAGGCAAGTTGTATTCCCTGGGCGGCTGCTTGGTTCTGTTCTCCGCAGATGATTGCAGTAATACTGAACTCACCAAAGTGCTGAAAGGCTTAAGTAAGGACTATGACATTCTCATAATTTTAAAGATGGAGGAAGTGGTACTGAGTCAAGTGGCTTACCTGCCCATACGCAAGGTTTGTTCATGTGTTATAGTCTTAGAAGAAAGCAAGGGGACACAAGGTCAAATATAGAATTTGGGTTATGCTTAGTTTATAAGTTAGTTACATGTCTTGTAGAACTGCTTTTTACTAATAAAAAGAAAAATACCTTGGGATAATGTTCTGCTCTTTTAGTAAAATTTTGTGTTGGAGTTTCTCACAGTGTGTCTTTTATGTGCCATCTTAATTTGTCATAAGTAGTCTGTATTTGACAAAAAGCAACTAATGCCCTGGTTTCTAAAACAGGAGGAAAACATAGCACCAAAAGAGTTAGAGATGATTGATATGTTTCAGTTATGTGAGAGTCCTTGTTAGGGACTTCTAGACCTTTGTGTAGGAAATCTATCAGAGTAGGACTGGTGGGGTGGCTGAAGTGGTAGAGCACCTGCCTAGCAAGCATGAGGCCCTGAGCTCAAACCCCAGTGCCACCAAAAAGAAAGAAAAGAACACCACCAGAAGCATGATGTTCTGAAAAGATTATAGTGGGAGTGTAAAGTGGTGTAACCATGTTGAAGAACAACTTAGTGACTCTGTAATACCTTAGAGTGTTTTCAAAATGTTTCCCTGAACCAGCGGGGTCCACATTTCCTGGGAGCTTGTTAGAAATGTATGTTTTTCAGGCCTTACCCAGGCCTGCCAATCAGAAACTCGGGGTTGAGCCCACTAATATGTGTGGGTGCTCCTAATGCTAGCCAAAAATGAGACCACACATGGCCCAGAGAGACACGAGGAAGCTTGCTTCAGCTAGGGATCGTATGTAGCCTCAGTTCATCTTCCCAGCAAATGTGTGTGCTTCCTCCCCTAAGCCCATTTTATTGATAAGGCTTTATTAACCATCTTCACAGAGTTAGGGAGAGAGCTGGGATTGAATCATTAACGCCAGTGCTGTCTTTTAACACCCGAATCTGCAGCTCTTTGTATTTCAATTTGAGGAGAAAAATCCTCTGTACTGAGCAAGGCAGTTGCTTGTACGCCAGGTACTTTACGCTTGTTTTCTAATTCAGTCTTTCTCACCGTTCTTTTCTTTTCTATTTCATCAATTTATTTTTTTTTTAATTTTCTTTATTGTTGTGCTGGGTGGGGGTACATTGTACCATTTACAAAAGCTCTTACAATATAGCAAACATATCATATGTGAATTCACCCCCTCCACCATTCTCCTTTACCCCTCTCTCCCCATTCCTGGAATAGCTTCAACAGGTCTCATATTTCCATTTTCATACATGTGTACACAGTATTTGCACCATATTCATCCTCCTAACCCTTTCCCCACCTCCTCCCTCTCCCATCTGACGATGCTTTGATACAAATCTGTTCCCTCTGTTTAGTAGATAAGGATTTAAGTTTTGAGAAGTTAAGCAATTTGCCCAACTCACATAGGTATCTAGATTTGAACCCAGACCTATCTTTAAACCCATGATTTTTGTATTGTAGCTCATTTTTATTCCTTTTTCTTTGAATCAAGCTCAAAATCAGAATGTAACAATCATAATAGAGTATGAACTGCCCGTGTTATACCTGGCAAAAAGAGAAGTGAGTTGTAAATAAAGAAGTAAAATGCCTCCTTCCACCAGAATAGTAAGTAATGAACAATGAGACTATAAAATGGAAAAATATTACAGTTCCCAGAGTGCAGTTATTGCTGTTCAAAAGCTGTGGTGAGTTTCTTCATTTAAAAGGAGAATATTCATTTTGTTTTCCTTGGCATTGTGATACTTTCCTGTGTCTTGATTTCTCTGACTTTGGCATAAAACAGGAGATTCTGGGATTACTTATTAGAATAACAATTATTTCTCGGCAATCAGGGTAGGATTCCAAGATCTTCAGCTGTAGACATTTGGCACAGTTCCAATGTGTATGTAAACCGTGGCTTGAGCAATACTGCACTTCTAGAGTTTTCCTTCTGAATGTTCTACTTTTTCCAGGTGAAAATTGTGGCAATGAATGAGAATGCCACTCTCAGATCAGCCCTCGATAAAAATCTGAAGAGTGCTTTGACTGCTGCTTTCCTCATGCTTCCCGAGAGCTTTTCTGAAGAAGATCTCTTTCTAGAGATTGCCGGACTGTCCTATTCAGGTTCGTATGGTGCGTGCTCCTTACTTCACCCTGGACTTGGGACAGTCTTCGTTCTAAATCTCATCATTTACTGCAGTAACTCCCTGGTATGTCTCCATACTTCCAAGGTCTCCACTATGTCCCTATAGATACTGTCCCAGGGTAATTTTGTTGTTGTTATTTATTTTGATTGTTTGGTTTTTTTGGGAGAGGTTGGCACTCCTGGGACTTGAACTCAGGGCCCCACGCTTTCTAGTCAGGCTTTCTACCACTTGAGCCACTCTGCAAGCCCTATTTTTTTATTTTGAAATAATTGCAAACCTATAGAAAAGTTTCAAGAATAATTCGGAAACCTCTCAAACTGTTTTCCAAGGTTCACCAGTTGTAACATCTCACCACATTTTTTTATTACTCTGTCTGTATCAGTGGTTTTCAAACTTTGCATTCCTGTGACCACCTAGAGAGTTTGTTAAAACAGATTCCTGGCCCCATCCCCAAACAGCTGATTTAGTAGTTTGGAGTATGGCCTAAAAACTTGTATTTCTAACCTACCAGCTCCAGGAATCCTGCTTTGAGAACCACTACACAATCTCTGACTGTAAATACACTGTTCCTGAGCAGTTTGAGAGGAGGTTGCACACACGTGTCCCTTTAGGCCCTGTACTCCAGTTCATGTTTCCTAAGAATAACCATGGCATCCCTACCACATGCATAGAATTCATCACTGATATGGCATTTGTACCAAATTGACAATCCATATCCAAGTGTCAATTGTCCCAATAATATCCTTTACAGCATTTTTTTCCCTCAAGTGTATGACACGGTTAAGGATCATCTATTTCATTTAGTTAGCATGTCTCTTATTTTTATTTAATTTTGGTGTTGGAGATTGAGCCTGGGGCCTTGTGCGTGCTGAGCTCTCTGGCTTGAAGCTGCACCACTTGCGCAGCCTTTCTTGCCTTGCATGGTGTTTACATCTCTGAAGTCTGCAGGCCAGTCATGTGCATCCTGCATAAGCACTGCTTTCTCCCTGTGTGCAGTCTCTTCAAGGGAAGATCATGCAGACTTCCTGCTGCTTCTCACACTTCCCCTTTGTGGTGTAGCATCCATTGAAGATTCTTTCTCAAACCAGGCTTTGCTGCAATGGTTACAAACTGGTGATTTTCCAAGTACATCTTCCTCTACATGAATGAATGAATGAAAAGCTTCTCTCTCTTCCCCATTTGTTTATTCATTTGTTTATTAGTTGTCTAAATGTTAACTTCCTTTCCCTTTCAACAAGTTGTGTTTCTCAGAGATGTTAGAGGCTTCCTTAAAAGACAAGGGCTCGCTGAGAGTATAGAGCTCCTGGTCCCTCACTGCTACAACCAGAGGAGCATCATATTTATCTGTTTAATATAGCTGTGTTCTGTGGAAGGTTTCATTTACAAGGCTGGGGCCTGGCTTATTGGTTGAGTGCTTGCCTAGCATGTATAAGACCTTGAGTTCCATGCCCAGTATCAGAAAAAGAAAAAAGATTTGAAAACCATGTCATAAATTCTCTCCTGACTTTTAAGTATGAGTCAAAGAACTGTACGCCTTATGCTCAAAACATTGCAAAAGCAGTGTGCTTATTCTCTGAATCCAGTGCAGATAAGATGTCATGGATATTTAATGCTGCGAGAGACTTCAGAGGTCCTGCTCTTCAGTCTTCTTCTTAAAATTCATCTAGTATGGCACAACTGTAATTGCAACTCTGGAGAGAAAGGAAATGAACTGAGCTCAGTCTTTGGTTGCTTCAGCTTCACCGGGAAGCATCCCTGCCTCTCATCAGAAGGCAGAGGACAAAGAGTGGCCTGCCCAGGTGACAGACAAGTAGCTTATATGCAGTGAGTGGGGAAAGAGACCCCTTTATTAGAGTGATTCCTGCAGAAAAAAATGATGGGACAGAAGCCTTTTGTGGCAGGCTGATTTTGTGGGGAAGATACTGGACTCTTCTGTATTTGGCCCACGGCACTTCTGCTTCTCCATTTTCCCCACATTGATAATCAACATCACCATAGTCTGAGTAGATTTTGGGAGTTTTCTATGAATTCTGAACATTGACTAAAGACTTTTATCAAATGATACAACCGCTTTCACCTATTTGCAGACCTTTTTGTGTGTTTGTGCACTATAAATCAAAGCCAGGCCTCACATCCACCAAATGTGCTCTACTCAGTGATAAAGTGCTTGCCTAGTGCACAGGAGGCCCTGGGTGCCTCAAATCCCCTGTACAGCAGAGAACAGCCAACAACAATAACCAAAGCAAACCAAAACAAAACATGTTCTCAACTGAAAAGCTATAATTCCAGCCCCAGACTTTCCTAAGTGAGCATTCAAGGTGCTGTGAATCTACAGCTGGTTTTTGCTAGAACTGGACTAATAAGGTAGAAAGGATGTGGGCCCTACTTTCATAGATGTGAGTTTGCCTCAGGCAATGTGTTGAAAGGCAAGGTTTCCTCCTGTCTCTCCTAGGCTTCTGAGAACCCAGCATCCTTCAATTGATGGAATTTTAGCCCTTTGGCAAACTGCAAATCTCCTAAACCCTCAGAGTATTTGAAAATTCAAATTACCCCAACCTCACTTGTAGTTACAACTTTGACATTTTCCATCTCTTCCCAAGTTGAGAAATTAAGCCCAGCATTTCTTCTGGAGGGGGCACAGGAAGGGAGAGGATGGGGAAAACATATGTCTTCATGCTATTGGACAAGTTCCTGCCAGTGGTTCCTGGAGAGGCACTGTTGGTAGTGATAATATCTCTGTCCATTTTATAGAGTGCTTACAGTCCACTTTGCTCTGGGGCCTGTGTTTATAAAGCAGTAGTGTCTGATGTTGAGAAAAAAGTACATGGAGGATAAGAGTCTGCAAACCTGGGGTGGAGAACACTTTCTACTCCTTCAGTTGTTCTTAGGAGTCTGCAGTTAAGCCAACAGAAAAGGACCTCACATAGATGTCTCCAATGATATGTATATTTATATACACACCCTCGCATCTATCTCATTGGGAAGTGCTCAGAAAATTACTGCTGTTATTTATGATTATATTTATGTATTTTTATTGGCTATATAGGTTTTCCACAGGCTGAGACACTTGTACTGAACATTCAGTGACTGATGGACACATAGGTTAGCCCCATTTTCACTTTTATTAGTGACACCGCTGTGAGTCAATCCCTTTGTATGAACTACTTAGTAATGGATATGTTCTCCAAAGTGGAGTTGTGTGTGGTTACAAGAATTACACAAGTTAACAGAAAATGCTTGTCAGATTTAGCAGAATACTTAGATCTTCCTTACAGACCAGCCTTATAGAATGACAAACACCTCCAAGCATTTTGTGTGAAAGAGAATGGCTGCTTCAGTGCCAGATTGCCTGAACACAGGCAGAGCTACTTCTAGGAATGAAACAGAGCAGTGAGGAAGTTGCCAGTGGACTGATTCTTGGGAGGAACATTAGCAATGGCTGCCAGCTCTCTGAAGTGTGAGTAAGCATCCCCTGGATTCTGGTCACAGCTAGTAAAGAAACTTTTTCTGTGGAATGGAAGCTATTAAATTTATTCTGTGATGGTCATACCATTAGAAACCTTGAGAGCAGTGTTCAGTGGGCCTTCTGCATATTGAGGATTGCCCATTTCAGGAATCTAGAAACCTGCTTCTCTCTACTTGCCCTGCTTGAGCTTTTGTTGAAGACTCAGAAGTCTGTGTACTTACTAGTCACTTGCTGATCTTTGAGAAGCAACACTCCCAAAGGTGTTTTAATCATTAATAATGTGTAATGTGTATGGGTTATGCACTATCAGATACTGTTCTGAGTGTTTCCTATGCATTAACTCACTTAATCTCTGAATATTATAAGCTAGTTATCAGGGCTCCCATTTTACATCCAAGAGCACTCAAGCCCATAGCTTGCTCTGGGTGTCATGAAGTTACAAGTGCCAAGCTGTGATTTGTTCCCAGGGAGTCTGTTCCTAGAACACTCACTCTTTTTTCTTTCTTTCTTTCTTTGTTTTCTTTGAGGTACTCGGGCTTGAACTCAGGGCCTTCACCTTGAGCCACTCCACCAGCTCTTTTTTTGTGAAGGGTTTTTCAAGATAGGGTCTTGCAAACTAGTTGTCCGAGCTGGCTTTGAACCACAGTTCTCCTGATCTCTGCCTCCCACGTAGCTAGGATTACAGGCGTGAGCCACCAGTGCCCAGCCTGATTCATCTTTATCCCTCCCTGTGCTCATCCACTTCATGCTTATCTGAAGGGTAAAAAAGACAAAATGGTTTGGATTTATATTGTTTAGTGTCTCAGCAGTTTATTCTCATTCTCTTCTGCTTGTGAGTTAATGTAGTCTAGTAGCTATGGAGTTATTTTAAAGAATACCATTTGAATAATACATTAGGCTACATTCTAGAAACACTGCCTTGGTCATTTTAAATACATATTATTTTGTCCACTGGCAGAATAATGAAATTGGATCCTTGACTCACATCATACACGGAATTAACTCAAAATGGATCATGACAGTGAGAGTTAAATCTAAGAGCTAAAACTATAAAACTCTTAAGCCAGGCACTGGTGGCTCACGCCAGAAATTCTAGCTGCTCAGGAAAAAGAAATCAGGGGGATCATGGTTCAAGGCCTGCCCAAGCAAATAATTCACAAGACCCTATCTTGATTCTTTTTTGTTGTTGTTTTTGGTGGTACTGGGCTTTGAACTCAAGGCCTCACACTTCCTAGTAAGGCAGGTGCTCTTACTGCTTGAGCCACTCCGCCAGCCCCACAAGACCCTATCTTGAAAACCCTTCACAAAAAAGGGCTGGTGGAGTGGCTCAAGGTGAAGGCCCTGAGTTCAAACCCCAGTACCACAATAAATAAATAAGTAAAGTTAAAACTCTTAGAAAAGTGACTTGGTTAGAAAGTGGTTTCTCAGGTATACACCAAAAGCATAAGCAATAAAAGAAAAAATAGATGGAACTGCATAAAAATTAAAAATGTTTGTGCTGCAAATAATAC